TATCCGGCAGATGCGGCTGTTTATCCATCCAGTCCTTCAACATTTGCAGGTCCGACATCTTCAGCTCCGGATTCCGTTTAAATTCTTCTTCCATACCGACATATCGCATCGGCATCATGTTTTCCACCATTGCTGCAAAATTTAAGTTTGTTTTCCACAGTTTTATCTGAAATTCACTTTTGACCAACAATCACGTATTGTAGAAAAAGAAAATAACACAAATATTTGCCAATGTAAAGCTATTATTAGCATGGACTTTCACTTTGAATTTATGCGAGTGGAATTAATCTATCAACTTCCTACCGTTTTCTGTACTGTGCATTGGCAATGTCTATATATATTTGGTGAAATGCACAATTATTTGCGGTAATGACAACAATAGCAAGTTAATAAGATATAACAAATGTCATCAAAAGATATGAAATTATGTCTCTATCTTTATCGCGCTGTCGCGCTATTAACATATTTCCGAAATTACGGTTAGCTACATACAAGTTAAACACCGATAATTTTCATATATATTTGTTTTTGTAAACCACAAGTCACGATAATAATTATGTTCTTAAAACATTTCAGTTCTTAATTATTATATATTATTATATAATTATTACATAATAATCAATATATAGTTTTTAATTGTTATATAAGCTAAAATTGTTAGTTCCTCGAACTAACAATTTTCTTCTCACACTAATTTTCTTCCACAAATGGTTTCAGATGACACAGTTATTATTTAGTTAATATTATAAACGATCTTTTAAAAAATTAAATATTACTTTTATTTAAAGAGAAAATTAAATTATATGTATATTAATATTTTTTAAATAGTTACATATGAGTTTATCTTGTAACCACTTTAAACACAGCACGAAATATTACTGCAATACACGAAGTCAGTCGTTTAGTCACTGATGTCCAAAGGAGAATGTGCGGCCGTTTGAGACGTTTGAGAAAGCTGTACGTCGCTTTCGTGAATACCTAATGATTGCGCAAGACTCCTTGTGCTCAATCATCTAGGAAAATCTGATTTAAATCTGTTGATACATTATGTAAATATCACGAATGGCGCTAAGAAGTGCTTCACTAATTTATCGTAAATTAATTTTGATTATTTTATTAATTAATTTTTGTAATACTTTGTGTTTCTTTTTTTAACATATTTTAATTCTTTTCAATATTACTATATTTCTCCAAAACATTCAATATTTTAAATTACAAGCTGCTTTTAACAAAATAACATAATTGTGTTTTGTCTCTCTCTCTCTCTCTCTCTCTCTCTTTCTTTCCCTCCCTCCCTTCCTCTCCCCTCTCTCCTCGTCTCCTTTCAATTCCAACCTTTTTATATGCTAATGATATGTTTTGTCTAAAATTGTTCAACTTTCAAAGATCACGTTCTCTATCGTCGTCTATTAGACTTTGAATTGCGTCATCCTACTTGTGGCTGCTAAGTGGTGGCTGTTTCCAAAATCCGTTCAAACATCATTTAAATTTGTAAAATCACATTCTACTTTATCTCTGCATATATAATTTCTACCGTAACTTTGTTCCGTTGTTAATCGTAATTCAGAAATTATCTTTACTTCGTTTCCGTACTTTCTCATTCATTTTTCAAAGTCCTTGGTATACACTTGGTTTCAATTCAACGATTTGAATATTTTTCTCAACGCAACTTGGAACGTATCCAATAGTGTCATATCAATATTTAATATCAAACGACTTATATTATCATTTAATCCTGCCGTCATATTTTCTCATCGTCGGATGTTTATCAAAACAACACACTCAGGTCTTTTTCATTCTCGTAGCGACTTGAGTGATGCAGTGATGCATATCGTGAGAAGGTAATTAGAGGTTTGAAGTTTAAGAGTGTTTCGCTTATATAACAATGCAGCGACTACTATTTTGCTCACATATTCATAGTAGCAGATCATGGTTTTATATTATTACATCAATATTAAGATATTATCATAAAAATCAGAGAAAAGTTATCAATTTTTGTACAATAATTTCATGTATATTAAACACAGTGTGCAACATATAATAGTATTATAAATAAATATCATAAATAAAGTACGCCTGCCCTCTGATGGTTTGCAATATTTGCATTCGTATTGTGGCCGTTGCGTGAAACGTTCGATCGGGCAAACTTAATTCTTTCGCAAAATATTGTCAATTACGATAAATGAATCGTAAATTTTGGATTTTTGCTACATTTGATATTTTCCTTAATTTCTACGTTATAAACACACAAGCTTTTATTTATTGAATTACATGTATTACTATTGTGTGCGTGGTATTAATTATACGTTTGAAATAATTTTGCAATAGATATATTTCGATCAATATTTAAAACATTTATCGGCAGCATCCGAAACGGAAGAAAAAGTCATATAAAAGATAAAATGGCACCAAGATGACGTTAAAAAGTAATCGTTTATAGAAAATCAAAATGATGTCATTTAATATTTTAAATAGAACGATAATTTGATTTCTTCGCAATTGCATTAGGACTTGTCAATAACTTTCTTACTCATGAGGCATTGTAGTAGAACGCCCTTAAAGAGATATTGGACTTTTCAACATGCAGAAAGGTATGGTTAATCATTTGTAATAAATTATTCGATAAATGTAAGTTAATTTATGTTTTAATAGTAGTATGTATATAGTTTTAAGAAAATAATAAGATACTTAAAATTGCAATAAAGCTTATTATGAAATATGCAATGATGAAAAAAGAGTTCTCTTTTTTTATTTTACTATGATTTCGCAATATTAACGTAAAATTTTGAAAAGTGTATTGTACTGTAAATTGTGAAACGTGTACAGTAAATTTTTAATACTAGTAGTAAAATATCGGAACGCAACTATTCCTCACAAATAAATCACGATAAAAATTATCTTTGAAAGCTGTTTTACTGTTATTTTGACGTTATTGTGACTTTTTCTTCTACTTAGGATTTTGTTTGAAGAGGTTGGTGTAAATCAATCTATTTCGAGTTTCTTGAAACTTCCTTCGACCCCGAAGAGATCCGTTGCCGATTTACTGTTCCCAACTCTCAGGGCCTCATTCACACGATTCAAGGCCTCATCCTTCAGAAACCATTCACGATGATTCTCGATATCTTTTAGTTGCTCCTCCTGCTGTTCCTTCAATGGTCTGCTCTTCCCTCCGCAATCGCACGGAAGCGCTTCCACCGGTATGAACTTTGCCAGCGTATCGTTCGTGGTATGAATATGCAACTGAAAGTATCAGAGCAAGTTACACCGATAAAATTCTAGCAATAATACAAAATAGTGACATCAACATCGTTAGAGAAATCTAGATTCTTTGACGAAAATAATCGTCGTCGAATTTTCGGCGACCGAGTTTCGGATAAAACTTTCGAGAGGAAAATTTACTCGAACGGGCTTGCTTGAGGATCTCCCTCTGATTTTAACTATGAAGCATAATATCTGTCCTTACCACGTCCATCAATTCCTTCTTCATAAATGGCTTCATCATCGCTAGAATGATATCCATCACCGCGTTGGTATTGATAAAATGAAGAGCCTTGAGTCTGATTGGTATGGATTCCTGCAAGTAATACAGGAACTTCTTGATTCCCAAGGGGCTAAGACGGCCGGCATGGGCGAAAGAGACCTTATCCATGTCAATGATAATAATGTGGCCTTTGGCGGTGCCCTCCTTATACAGCCACAAATCCGTCACCATGGCGAAGTATTTCATAGTATCATTGTAAACGAAGTGCGATGGCTCATAATCTATTAATCTTGAATAGACAATCTTGTATCCTTCCTTCGTCCGCATCTCCAGTGTTATATGCGCACTTTAGCAAAAAACTTAAATGCTTATTAATCCGCGATTGAATGAAAAATTTGGGGAAAAATTATTATATATGATTACATATAATCATTTGGGGAAAAATTATTATATATGATTATATAAAATCGTATATGAATTTTGCCCATACATGTTGTTACATATATGATCATGTCCGTACGAAAAAAATGATGTTATGCCGTTTAATAATTGAATGTCGATATCATGCGCTGTCAGAGGCACAAGTAGCCAGAAGCATTTATTTCGATTGTATTCGCATGTAATTTGTAAACAACAATATTTTTTCGTTGTGGACATAAATGATTACATATAGTAATATATGGGCAAATTTCATACGCGATCTTTTTCTTTCCCCGGGTTGACAAAATTAATTTTTTGCCAGTACCGACTTCCTGGGAAGAAAATTGATCACGTTAAATTTACTATATGTGTGACGTAATCCGACGTTACAATCCAATCAGTGTGAATAATTAGAAGCGTTAATTTCAATAATAATAATAACAGATGCGACAAAATTGTGCTGGCTGCGGTTTTATTTGCAAGCGTCACGTAATACAAATTTCGCTTGTACGAAAGCGCTTGTACGAGAAATCAAGCGTGGTTCTCATGTATATGCAAGTCGCGCGATAATTAGGGCCATCTGAGAATTCTTACGTGACTTTGAACGCCTCTCGTAATTGCATCGTTCCGAGCGGATCTCTGTCGGAGAAGAATTCAGGCAAATGAGTTCTGGCTGTGTAATATTGCTCGATGGTGCACTTGGTAGGTTCCATAAGATAATAATTGCTGTGCAGGAACAACGCGTACTCGCTGTCCATGATCTTCGGTAGATGCGGCTGTTTCGCGCACCAATCCTTCAGCAATTGTATATCAGAATCCTTTAGTTCGGGATTTTTTCTCTTTTCTTCCTCGTAGGATATCCTCTTGTTTAAAGACATGGTGTTCCCAATCTTTTCTTAACTATCATAACAATCGTTCAATGGAACAAATTAAAAACAATCTTACGTTACTTGCACTTAACAAGTTTAACGAAAAACAGTGACTCTAATAGGCATCAATGAATTAATATTATATAAATGTCTTCGATTAATGTCTGAATTATGGTGCATAATTTGGAAAGCGCCACAAATTTAGGACAATATTGAATTAGATGTACTTTAAAAGAAAACACGCACATTATGCGTACTCGTACGTACGTGATAGATAACTAATTGTAATTAGAAGAGAAAAGCAAATAGTAGTAAAAGATGTATGACGATACAGTCGTAGGAATATCAATGTTTCGATCCACTCCGTATTTTCACAACGATGTTACTGAATTCATAGAAAAAGGACTCGGCATATATATATGTACACACACTCGCGCGCGCGCGTGTGTGTGTGTACATATATATATGCCGAGTCCTTTTTGCCGAGTCCTTTTTGCCGAGTCCACACGCACACGCACGCACGCACGCACGCACACACACGCACGCACACACGCACGCACATATATATATACATATATTTATATACGAATTGAGCGGTGTGACAAATAATTCGTGAATGAGAAAGTGGTCAAACGGGATTTTTAAATCCTAAGAGATCTGTGTAAAATATCAGAGCAAGCAAGATAAAACTCAGGAGGAAATTGTTTAAATGTAGATTCAAAGACGATTAAAGGCGAAAAAGAAATCTTCACTCACTTTATTATATAATTATAAATTAAATCCTGTGTCTGAATATGTGGTTCAGGTGAAAGACGTTTTTGTTCGTTCGAAAAATTGTGAAACCTATTGTCCATCTTTTCTATCGAATGTCCAAAGCATTACTACGCGCAAAAATTATATGGTTTCTGTTTCAAGGCGCAAAACAGGTCGTGACATAAGAAGTAGTGATATGCATATATGTGAATATATAATTATGCTAATGTAGCAAACAAATTACTTTACTTAATGTTACAATTATACCTATATGCAGAAGAAACTAGACAGACTTACAATTATACCTATATGCGGAAGAAACTAGACAGACTTACAGCAACAAGGTTATTGGTATGTAATTATTGGCAATGACGCAGCCAAGGGGGAGGGGGGGTGCAGCCCCGCGAAATTCTCAATATTTTTTTTTTTTAATTAGCTAATGAGCAACAGAGAGAGAGAGAGAGAGAGAGAGAGAGAGAGAGAGAGAGAGAACGAAATTACACTCAAAAATATTAATTTAATTAATGAGATAAATATTATTTTAAAATGAAATAATTGGATGACGAAATTGGATTAATGAAAGAAAGAAAACAACAATTTTTAAGATTTCAAATTATCTTTTTTTAGTCGTCCATTTACAGCATCTCAAAACTTTTTTCTAGCTACGCCACTGCTGGTATACTATGGAAGAATAATAATATACAAGTAACCTAGAGTTACAATCTGTTATTATTTTAAGTATAGTTAATCAATCTCTCTCTTTCTCTCTCTCTCCCCCCCCCTCCTTTCTCCGATTGTTTCCTCTTCTCTCTGCAAGTTCTTTTATATTACATTAGTATATAATTTCCTTAATGAGAGATTATTAATTAATCTTGTTGAATTGTCAAATTGCGAGTCGTAACAACTGTAGAAATAATTATTATATGTATAATATAAAATATATACGTATAATATAAAAAATTATTATACGTATACACGCAATGATATAAATAGATAATTGATAGGAGAGGAGAAGATGATATTATGGTCCCTGTAGATATCGTGACCTTCCTTAATATTTTCATTATTAAATGACGAATACTAGCGATTACTTATAGAATCATTTATTTAGTAGTATATGCCAGCAAATTTCATACAAATGATTAGCACATTGGTAGCATTTGTTCGTAATTAGATGGTATATTACGCGGCTTTTAAGTTAGATATTCGTTCATAAATCGTTTGCTGTATTCCCCTTACAAAAGTATTACTGCCTATAATAAATTGGCCAGTAATAAATTATTACTGCTCATTTTATTATTCGTACGAGTAATAAACTTAATCCCGGCCTACAATAAGTGCTTTAAGCCCTAAGCCTTAATAAATTGACCAATCGCAGCCGATTAGTCTTTTCACATTCGACTGAGATTGGTCAATTTCTATAAGGCTTAGAGTTTAAATTCTCATTGTAGATTCCGCTTTAGATCCAACTATGAATACCGGCCTATAAATTTTCGGTATTGGCAATGAAGAATCGGAAGCCCTAATTGGCCGACTTCGGCGCTGCAATCGGTATACCTGTGAGCAACTACAATCTGACGCAGGTGGCGATTGCAACTCTGCGTTGAAGCGCGTCCAAGTTGTTCTTCCCGTTGAGTGCAACAACAAAGCGCATATCGAATATCCGATTTGCGGAAATTGATGTACTATGAACCGATTAGATGATCCTCCGGGGCTCATGAAAGGCAGAAAACCATCTTTTATTGGGATGAACGGTAAGTTACTCGCAGTTACATCATTATTACTCCAATCCTAACCTAAACTAACCTCCTCGTGTTACAAATTTACAACAGCTTTATAACAGCTTTTGATTTAAAGCTGATCCCGAAAAATATATTCTCCTTTTTTCCTTATTTGACGTTAGATATAAAATGTTTTGATTTAGCGATACAAATGTTACTAATATAACAATTTCGTGTGATTCCGTCACAATTGTTTTACGGTTAATTAACGGAATTCCCGTGGCAAAACAAGCAAATAGTAACTCGGAGGAATTTACATTTCAGGCGCACCGGAGACAGACGATCAGCAACGTATACGGTTTCAGATCGAACTAGAATTTGTACAGAGTCTCGCCAATCCAAATTATCTCAATTGTAAGCGTAAACTGTTTGTCCACATACTTAGTTCGCTTCTTGCAACAAAGGATTCCCTTAATTCCCGATACGTGTAATTACAGTTCTGGCACAACGTGGCTACTTCAAGGAGGTTCCATTCATCAATTACTTGAAGTACTTGTTGTATTGGAAAGAACCTGAGTATGCCAAGTACTTGAAATATCCTATGTGCCTATACTTCTTGGATTTGCTGCAGTATGAACACTTCAGGCGGGAAGTTGTGAATTCTCAGTGCACAAAGTTTATCGACGATCAACAGATCCTGCTGTGGCAGCACTACACGAGACGCCGGACGAGGCTCTTACAAACAGCTGCGGAGCAAACGCAACACACCAATTCTCAGAACAATGGCATCGTGCAGCCCAAGGTTCCCTAGAATTCGTAGCTTTAATAATGTTCGTCGTGCGTGTTGATAGCATAGCATATTTAAAATAGAGTTGAAATATTTCATGTTTTCCTTCTTTCTTTTTTTTTCTTCTTATATATGACGGTTCCTTGTTAGGACTAATTTGCTTGACTGTGATAGCTCATGAATGAAATAAGTTTTTTTTCCATCTTTTTTATACAACCTCAGATCGTGGCTCTCTTTCTCGCATAGTATTTCAGCCTCTGGGAGTGTAATCGGGAAAAGAATATCCGCATCGAAGATATGTATTTCTCCCTAACGCTCAGTCTTGTTACATCAATTGTTATATGTGTATATACTTGGATTTATAATATTTCAGAATATGAAGAACACAATTATTCGTATACTTTGACAAACGTCCACTTATAAGTCGCTACCAAATTACGATTATATACTATATTAAATTCAAAAGTAACCATATCACATGTATTACACACAACTTCGCGATGGAAGTGCGGGCTTGATCTCTGTCATTTAGTTATCCTGAGTCTTCTCTTAAATACGCTCTCATCTACGTTACGTTACTTTCTTACGCATAACATCAAAATAAATACTATTGTTATAAATATAATAGTACCACATATCGCTCGATTTATGTACGATACTCATATAGCACATATACGTAATCGATATCCATTTAATAAAAATAAAACTAATCTTTTACTGCATCGGTCGAGGTTTCGTACGAGTGAAGAGCGGTTTGATAACACCGAGTGAGTTGGCGAAAGATTCTATGCGCAAAGCCGTCTCGGCTTTACTCTGTGCTTTTAATTTCCGAAAAATTCACTAGAATCCCATTGCCGGCGTCCACCCATTCCTCCGAGAAGAGCTTGTCCCTCAGTATTTGCCTCTCCATCAGATCTTCCTTAGTATCGTTCTCCATATTAATACAGTCGTTTCTCTTACCGCAATCGTCGAGCATATTTTCCACGTCCGCCACACAATCCGGCAGAATTCTACCCGATGTCTCCGGTAAAATCAGAGCCAGAGCACCGGAGACGATGCACAATATGCCAATGATTACTAATTGTACCGGAAGTGATATGTACTGTCCCTGAACAAATAATTTTTGCATCGTTAATATTTGTTTCTGTATTAGTTGGTCGGTGGAAATATTCCCGGCGTTTTTCTCAGTTCATAGAAACGAGACTGATACGAACTAAAAGAGAGAGAAAGAGAGAGAGAGAGAGAGAGAGAGAGAGAGAGAGAGAGAGAGAGAGAGAGAGAGAGCTCGTTTACTAAACAGAAACAACGTGTTTAAAAATGAATCAGAAGCTCCGAATAGGAGAATCAACGGCGTACCGATAATAGCAAATGCGACATGCTTAGTCCACCGATTTTCGAAAACATCACGCACAAACCCAGGCTACTGCCTCGTATCACCGTTGGGGATGTCTCAACAGTATGCAAGTAGGTGATGGAGATGGTACCCGTGACGATTACTTTGCCAAGTAGCAATACTATCGTTTTCATGAGATCTGAAACGAGAGAGTTTACTTAAGTTAAAATATATCTGCCACATATTTTCTACGAGACATGTGGCTTGAAAAGATTCTAGCTCTGTTTACAGAGCAACTTACAATCAGATTAGTAACACCTAGTAATCTATGTTTGCACGATCAGCGTAAAACCGTGATAAAGTATCGTAACTGCGACTGCTAGTGTTACACGTCACACACACACACACACACACACACGCGCGCGCGCGCGCGCACACACGCACACACACACACACACACACATATGGCATAATTATAATTATTTATACGACATGTAATATCGATTGTACCAGTAGAAATTATCAAGGTAATTGGTCCGTAGAATACTGAATTTTCAATTAGCAATATTTAAAAGGCTCTTCATAAGTTTATTTATTGAAAAAAAAGATATTCGTATAATTTATTTTATTTAATTAGTTAATAAACGTTAATTTTGAACGAAATTAAGACATATATATGCGCAATATTACAAACATGGCAATATTATTTATTTTTTATTTTTCCTATTAATACTTTATTTATACGTCAGTTGAGCTAATATATATATATATATANTATCGTGGATGTTACTATAAATAAAATTTTATTATAATATTGTATTTATAGTAAACTAGTAAGTTACTATAAAATTATAAATTTCCTGGCTATTTTAAATGGCTATATCTTCAAAAAAAGAGGTCAAACATTTTGAAATTTTTATATAATATGTCTCTATATTAGTTTTTAATATCACAGTAGTTTTTTTTTCATTCAAATCTTAAATGTGGTTTAAAAGAAATTAAAAATAGGACATTAAGGAACACATATAAAAAGTGTCATTTTCAATTGTGAAGTTCAGTTATCTCAATTTGCGAATAATCGATCGTTTTCTTAACATTACAAACATATAAATAGTATTTTCATCAATACGCAAGTAAAATTTAGAAGAATTCCTAAGAAAATAGTTGGACAACTTAAACTGGTTTACCTTAACCCTTTCGCGGCGAACAGCGCCTTTAGGCGCTCAGCTATAGATGCTCATTCTCAGCGAACAGCGCCGTTCGGCGCTCAGGCAAATTTACCCGCGGTGAACGAACAGCGCCAGATGGCGCCCATCCGGAGCCGCTCTTTTCGTACGAAGGCGCTGTTCGTTTGTTATCAACAACTGCCATTAATGTCCATTAAGTTGTTTTTGACGTGCTAGCAGCATACGCTTCTTGTGCAAAGGTTTTTTTTACATAGTCAAATATTATATACACACTGCGTTCGGAACGACTCGCGTATTTGGTCCGCGCGGTCGATCTGGCATCGGCTGCTTAGAGCGCAACTCTTTCCAGAGCACTCCGTCGCGAAAGGGTTAAACTAGTTCTACGTTGTTCACGTAAACGTGCATCGTGGAAGTTACTAAATCGTTTTTCAGGTTGCTTTTACAAACGCAGCCTCTGTCGCGTTAATTGAACTTGAATCTCGATCTAAAGTTAAATAACTGTCACGCCGAATATTAGAAATAATATGCGAATATCACTGAAAATTTTAATACTAATGACTACTGAATATCGGAAAGGGAAAAGACGCGTTCTTCCACACAATCTCTTCCCTTGCGAAAATTCGAGCTTTTCGCGGAATTCATTCATGAAACTCAACTCACGAGACCAAGCTGAACGATGTGAAGTGCGCGTATATTCATTGATGCAAAGTGCGTTTTCGGAAGGGAAATATGAATATACGGATATAAAAATTTCAACCGTGAGCCACGGGATGGCTCCAACGTTGGGTGGCGCGAGTTGAAAGACCGCCCGGCGAAGTTCAATTTGTAAGAGGGGAAAGCACCCCGCTTAGTGCGTCCACGTACCTGTCCACGGTGCGGTGGCGTTGATAAGAATGAGAAAGGCCGCCATCAAGATACAAATGACACCATTGAAGGACTGGTATATACACATGGGCACTCGTCTGCCGTATCTGGTCAGCACGACGTACACGAACGTGTACGTCGCCATCTCCAGGACTCCGCCGAGGATGAACGTGATGTACCTGTTGATCGGGATGTTGGGCGCGAGATCGTCGAGTATGCCGTAAGCCATCGCGGAGGTCAACCTTGAAAGTTGTCGCGAGACTTTGAGATGGGAAAATCCTGTCCCCAAGATACGCGCCGAAAGGAGGAAGAAATTGGAAGAAAAATCGGAGCTCGGGAGCAGAGTTGCAACGTTCGATATACTGGTAGCAGCGCATGAGGGGGATACCCACACCAGCGAGCGGCCATGTCGGTGTGCGCTCGGCGCTTCGGCCGGCTTCGAGCGGTGGAAGAGCGCGGACGTATCTGCTGTGGCTGTAGCCTCGGGAAGGAAAGAGACAGCAGCAGATTGTGTGTCCGCGCTCTTCCACCGCCCGAAGCTGGCCGAAGCGCACACGGACACGGCCGCTCGCTGGTGTGCCCTCACGCGCTGCTGCAGACTGTATCGAAAATTGCAACTCTGCTCGGGTGAGGACAATTTCCAGAAGCGGTTTCTTACCACTGACAAATCATTATCACGCCGTATTTTCTCAACGTTGACGATCGGAACGAGTCCTTGAACATCGAGCTCGCCTTGCTCGTGGCTCGTTCCTCGCTGGGACTCTCCGACTTCCCCGCGTTCTCGCTCGCCCTCTCCTTCTTCGCCCTACGGAGCACCACCTCCTCCGCAGCTCTCAGAGAGACCCTCTGATCGCACCCCGATCGCGAGGTCGCAACCTCGGATCTTCTTCTGTCGCATTTCGAGCTCGATGGCAGATTCCTCGAGTTGTCGACATCCTGTGTGGAAAGTCGCGTCTCCCGACGTAATTCCACGTTGGCGGATCTGTCCTCCGCGCCCGTCGGTTTCGCTCCAGAAACTCGGTCTGTGGTATCAATTTATCGGATTACCATCAAATCAAGATCGTCCACGAACACAAAGCGTTCTCGAATCACCGATTGAGAGAGAAAGAGAGAGAGAGAGAAAATTAATTCTCGCTCGAGTGGAATCTTTCATTTTATTATTATTGCCTCGTATAGAAATTCGCGTGTACTAAAAGTCAGTTTGCCTTTTTGCTCCGGTTCCGATCCGTTTAGCAGATTCGTGGCTTCTTCTCGTTGATTTTCATCGGATCTCGCTCTCTGTAGATCGGCGCTGCTGACGCGCGACTTCCTCTCCGGTTTTATCGGCGTCGTGTTACTTTTCACGCATGCCTCCCGTTCAGCCATCTCCTCCTTTCGCGTCCTGATACAGCAGCTGTTATATTTCGCGATTCTCTCGAGCGCCATGTCGGCCTCCGTCGATTTGCCTCTTGCGAGTAGCCACCTCGGCGACTCCGGTATAATCCTATTAAAACAAAATCCTTTGTGTAATAAAATACAATATATTAAAATATAATGTAAAAATCACCAAAGTATGTATGCATAAAAAATGATAAATACAAATTAACAGTGAAAAATTATAAACGTAAATTAATAATACAATAAATAATATAATTAATAAAATAGTAAAGAAATAATAATAAATATAAGTTATTTTGTATGTATCTTGTTTGCGTACGTTTAAATGTTTCGAATTTCATTTCTCTCATCTGTAAAGACGTAACGTTGTGACATCAGCTGAGAGCTTTCGAAACGTTCTCCTCCACACGTGTCCCTTAGACACGTATTTCGGACACGTTCCGTTGAGTCTCTTCCTTCTTACCAAATGTACAGCACGGTGATCGCGGTGGGCACGGAGACGGCGAGCTGCAAAATCCGCCAGTCCGGAATCACGTAGCTGAGCGTCGCGAGCAGCACAAGGCCGATCGACCAGGAGATCTGCATGATCAGCGCGACGAGGGTGCGCGATCGCGCCGGGAATAGTTCCAGAGAGAGGATGTACGTGGAGTTCTGCAGGCCCTGGACGAACACCCCTTGAAGACCGCGCAGCGCCAGGAAGGCGGGGTAACTCTGAGGTGAAAAATCTTGTCAGTGTCCTTCAGCTTGAATCCTCGCACGAGTTACTCCGCGTGTCGATGTGTCATTTCTTCTCCCGGTCCCTCTCTCTCTCTCTCTCTCTCTCTCTAATTCTCTTATTCGAGTATCAGACGAATGACAACGAGCCGCGAGGTGGTTCGTATATGAAACGGAGAAGACTTTTTACTCGTTGTAATCAAAGGATCGCGCGCAAAAGTGGTCTTATAAACCACTCGGTGAGGAAAACTGAGCCATATTTAAATCGTTCGACTCTGAGGAGCAACTTTCTCGAGATCTTGAAAAGCGTCATCGAGCGCTTAATTGACTGTAATCCATTGCGGCAACTGTTGAGCGTATCTCTCTCTCTCTCTCTCTCTCTCTCACCTGCACGATGTAGAGTGCCACCGCCATCGTCCCCTGCGCATACAGGCAGATCGCTTGAACGGGAAGTCTGCCGATACGATCGGCGAGAAATCCGGCGATACACGCGCCCAAGATCACCCCGGTGTAGTAAGCGGTCGGCCCGAGGTGAGACAGATACCGTTTCTCGCACACCAAACCCCATTCGGTGACCACGCTGCTCTCGGCGAACTCCGTCACAAAGCGATACTCGCCGGAACAGGAGGCGAGAGCCGACACTTCCGGCGACGCGAAAGTTACGTTGGCGTCGATCGATGAATTCGCGACGTCTTGGCAGCCGTAGCTCCTACTCGTCGAATTCTTCGTCTGGAAGCACGCAAATGGACCCTCCGATGTAGCGTCGCGTCCTGAGCTGCGGCTCAGCTTTCCGCAGAATTTTCACATTTTTTCACATCTCGCAGAACCCCTTCAATAATTCACTCTCAGATATTTATACTTCATAGATAGGTTTCGTAATTATATACGTATTTTTCTCGAATGTAATTGCTTAACTAAAATGTTTGACAAAAATGTAAAATATTTAACAAAAGATAATTATTAATTAATCGATATGTGTATTTTGTCTCAGTTTAACGTCTCCGTTTAAAATGTTGTGTTTATTCTCTCTCGCAAGTCATTTGCACTTTCCCTTAGATTGATCGATATATCAGCGATTCTGAGTAATTTTCACGCGCCGTTACATTTAATTTGTGTCAGTCACTTTCGCTCAGTTTAATTGTTTATTCAATTGAACTAGACAAGAATTTTGCCTCGTGCCGTATCAAGACGACAGGTCTGCGCGTTTCGTCTCGTGCGCACGGAGGGAAGAAATTTTGCTAGAAGAGCAAATGCTCGTCAATACAGTGACAGCAAAGAAAAATCTGTTTAAACAGCAAAAAATTTGTTTGGACAACAGAAAGATTTGCTAAGATTATTTTATTAGTTGCTTATTTGCCGGATATACGGACAGTTACTCTCAACAAATCTTTCTGCTGTCCAAACAAATTTTTCGTTTGCCATCACCATATTGGCAAACATTTGCTGTTCCAGCAAAATTTCCTTCCTCCGTGCGTGGCTTCTCACCTGGCAGTAGAATTTCGGCGTGTAATTATGAAAGGCCGGTAGCGCGTGGCTCATGGCTACGATGACATAGTTTATCCCGAGCAGCAGCACCAGCACCATTTGAAAGCAGCCCACTTTAACTTCCTCGGCGTTCATCGTGAACGATTTCGCCGAACCGTCGACAATCAGCCGGCCGAAAACCTCTCGCCGGTCGAAGGCGCGACACGCACTGCGTACTGGTTTAAATACCACCAGAGTCCGGCATGTCACCTTTGTTCATTCCTTCGCGAAAATCCGCGCGAACGACCTCACCGACGGCCGGACGTTTCTTCCACCGCACGCTCGATCCATTTGCGACGCGCGAATTCCCCTCGCGAAGATCGATTATATTCGCTTCGATCCCGCGAACTTAAGAATGCCGAATTCACGCCGGCGAGAAACGAGGGGAGCGCCGTTTCTCCTTTTCGTAAGGTAAGTACCGCTTGCGTTTAATTTTTCGGATCGGGAAGAAACGAGCGGAATTTGAGGAAAGTTTCGTTTGTTTGTGTGAAAACGGAGTATCGAGCGGGAGGATGCATCCGCTCGGGACAAAGTGTCATCCGCGAGGGTGAAGCACGCACTGACAGAGAGGGGATCGCCAGGAGAGTCGTCGTCTCTCTCGCAGGACGGCGCGAAGGAGGAAACCGAATGGCGGTGAATCGGAGGAGGACGGCGGGTACCGTCCTATTGTTTCGATAACTGACGACACGCGGCACATAACGCGGCACGTACATACATATATACACGCCGCCGGGAGAAAACGATCTTCTGCCAATACAACGATCAATATTCCGGCTGTTGACGTAACCGTCCGCCGATTCTCGTTCCCCGTTGTCATCGTCGTCATCATCATCGTTCGTCGTCGCACGTGCTCGATCCAGGTATCGGTGTAACGTTGCGTGAAAGCGCAACGATAGCCGACGCTAACGGAATAGCGATTTTTCAATTTTCACTCCGCGGAGCCAGGTGGAAGACATCGGACTTAATGACGCGTTTGCGATAATTGCGAGCGTGATTGCGAGCGAATCGGCGATTTGTGCCGGTAAAGTGAAGAGTGTCGGCACGCGAGCCGTAAAAATGGCAGCGTTAACAATGAATGCGAAGCTCTCGATCCACTTTTCCCCCCCAGATGATAGTTATTACAGCGCGGAAAACGCGCGCTTGAATTCCGCGCGATGCACACACACACACACACACACACCCCCGAGTGTGTCGCAACGAGTCAGATAACGTCCTCTCAGCTGGGTCTACGAACTCCGCCGGACTGTCGCGAGCGAGAGTGTGTGCGCCATGACGTGATGTTAAATACAGGGAACGGGACAGTTTCCGTCGGGATTTCGTTGCGAATTTCTACTTAATCGACGACTCATTTATGATGATTTACTTGCCTATCGATTTCACGACAGTGCCCGATCATTTCGTCATTTCATCCGATCAAGTCATGCCTTTATTCGGCGAAAATTACAACGGATGTACAAAGGGTGATTAATTTTCCAGTTAGGTTTCCTCGGCAACTTGATCGGGCGATAAAAATAACAATCGGATACATCGTTTAAATCGGTTTATCCGATGGAAATTTTGTGGCTATACAGTCTTCCACTCTGGTGTCTGAAATTTATAATATTTCCTAATTAGCTCTCTCTCTCTCTCTCTCTCTGCACAATCAGTTCCGAGAGAAGTAAACTCATAGCTTACACCAAGCTACACAGCAGGGACTGACGCGTGAAAGGAACATCGTTAACACATGACGTTGCGCTTCGACTCCGGACCATCAGCGTGAAACTCTCTCGATATGATTATCGCGGCGCTACGCGCGCGTCACGTGTGACCTGAATACGAATTTAAGGATATACCAAGTGTACACGGCAAAACGGCGGAAAAATCAATGAATCAATTTCTCACCTATAGGTCAAGAACAAAAGATTCTTTCATTCCGGGAACAGAAGAGTGACGAGCGCGCGCGAATGTGACGCGGAACAAGAATCGATACGTGTCACGTCGCCCCCTCGCGTCCCCCCGTCGCCGACTATGCCGACCATGACGCGTCGCTCGCGCGAATTGAGAGTTAAAATTACGGTCGTAAAGTGCACGACCGTCTCTCACGACGCGCTACGACAGGTGGCAACGCCTCGTGGACGCGTCTAAAAGGCGTGTATCTATTACGACTGTTTCAGCAGTCGACTTAGAAGGCGCGCCGGCGGCGACATTATCTTGATCGCGACATAGGGTGTAAGTCATCACGACGACGGCAACGACGGCGTTTCCTTCGTTTCTGGAACTGCTTGCGTATGCCGGGCTGGTTACGTCCGGTCCCGGCCGCATCCTGCCTTTCATCGGTGGTTCGTCGCCGGATGGATCGACGACCGAATCCGAAGGGAATGCATTCCTCTCTCTTCCCCTCTCCCCCTTCTTTCCTCGCATCCTCGTTGCCCTCGTCGTCGTCGTCGTCCTTCGATTTTAGGCGTCGATCGCACGTCATCGCACAGTATCGACATGCTCGGATCGTATATCCCGCTCCATCATCCGTTCATTTCCATTTGGCCGCTGACGGAACGCATAATCACTCGGTGCGCTTTCGTCGGCGTCGTGAAGAATCGCGGATGTACGCGGGGAAGGAACGTTATTGGTTGAATTAACGTGACCGACCGAACGAGCCGAATGCGTTTTGGCTGAAACGGAAGGAATTTTTGGTCCCAACAAGCGAATTCCGTTGGTTTGTAAAAGAGAAATTCTGTTCCCTTCTTGGGCCCTTGGCACCTCGCTGCACCGTCCTTCCCAGTAAGCAGGAAACGTTAAATCAATCCTTCGAAACGTTGATTTTATGTAGATTTTACAAACATCTTGACGCAGTATTTTATCAATGTTTTACAAACCGTTACTTGATAATATTATGTTCTTAAATATTAAAATCGTAGTGTGGAAATATTTTTTAATGTTACGATCAAATATTGTTAACAATGACGTTATGCAACATCGAGAACTACATATTTGAAAACGTTACATATTATAAAATATTATATGATAATAAATAACATTGTGTCAATGATTTCTTGCTTATTGGATTGGTTGATAAAGTCAGAAGCGAGAAAACGCCAATGAAGGATTCTCGCTCAAGATTTTCTCGCTTTCGACGTCATTGAACAAGAACAGTTGCAGCGAAGGACCAGAATCCTTAGCGAAAACGTATTTGGTTCGTCCGTTAATACAACCAATTTTTTTCTCCGTATAACCGTACCGATCGAAGACGAATTTGCTGGTGAAACGAAGATGCGTCATGTTGTCATATCGTGATATTGCATGATGCATCCGAGAGCCATCCGTTCGTCACATTTTACTTTTCACACTAGTGCGTGCACGGAGCTATATTAAATTGGAAAATCGACGAACGATCGACGACCGTGGAGTCTCCGTAAAAAAAAAAAAAAAAAAANTAGTTTTTTTTTTCTCTCCAAGAGCGATATTCGAATTCTCGGGTGAACGAATTCTCCGGTGACTTCATCGCGATAATGCACGAGGAAAGTGAAGTAGATTCGCTCGGAGGAATTTCAAGTTATTAAGGTTCCGCTTAAAGTGGATTCATATTCTTGAGTGGCTCTCGCGAATCGTAAGTGGAGTTTTCTGGAGTAGTTACGAGTCGGCCGCGGGAATTGCGGCTGCCGCGTTATTACGACGGGGGGAAAAAAATTTTCACAACACACATCGCGTAATATACGGCACGAATGGACGATGCGCCGGCTAACGATCCGTGCCTGTTCATCGGCACTGATGATTCAGGCTAATTTCTTACGCGTTTCTACGCGGCTCTTCTCCGCTCTTACCGCGTTATTATTTTCCCTACGTAATAGTAAGCAGGCCAATAGCACGGGGTTGCTAATTCAGGACGAATAGTAAAAGGATACAAACGATATTGCTGACGTGCCGAGTGCCGACGATGGTCATCGATCTTGGTATTTCTGAATATTAACGGAGGAATCATTCATTGTGTTACGTTACGTATGTTAATTGCCGCTTGTCGCGGGTGAAATTAAAAAGAACATATTATTTCCCCCTGATATCATGGATGCTCACTTGTGAAAAGAGGCAAGGTATTTTAAACAATTTTTATAACGGTATGCGTTTACCGATTTGTTTGTAAAACGCGATTTAAGAAATAAAATAATGTATCTTTTAAAAATAAAGTTGCTGCAGCTGTGTCTCAGAAAGTAAACTAAGTACGTTTGAGATATGTAATTGTTAAGATGTATCTTCTCTATGTTGAATCTATCCTGTGTGAGTTTGTCGGTGGAATTCAAGTACACGATACACCTCATATTCAAACATTTTGTTCCTTCCTTTGGACCCTCTTCGGTGAAAAAAACACGAGGATTACATGAGGATGCAAGTAAAACTTAAAACTCACAACCGTCATACGCACGCAAATAGCTTATAAGAATTGGAAGTGGCGATGCAGTAAAAAAAGTGTTGACCTTTTCGTGACTGACCATACGCACGTGCGTCCGTCGTGAACCCATACAGCACAAATGTTCGAAAGACATCCTAGAGACGTCCCAGGGATATTCAAATATTCTGAAATATACCTGGGATGTCTTTCGAACATTGTGCTGCATGGGAAGGCTCACCCCGATGTTTCTCGAACTTTCTACTACATCCGAAATCTCGTCATCTTGTTAGGTAATCAGATAATTACGTCTATCAAATCTCACTTCATTCCGCTAAATAATCATGGTTCCTCGAGACTTTAAACACAATCTTATTAAAGCAACGTTTTCCCGGATCTCATCCGATCTTTCTCTCTATCTCTCTTCGGCTAAACAGTAACGATTTCTCGTATGTTGCGGCACGATTTCGCCGAGCAACCGATACCTCCGCGCACCTGGCTGAACGGTCAAAGTTCACGATGCCGTCGCGCGCGCGGCGATACCCCCGGTCGGGATCTTGCTGTAAACGATCATACGGCGGTCCTGGACCTCTTCGCCGAGCGTATTCCCGCGGTCGGTCTCGCTAAACCTCGTGACGAAGCGATAAGCACCACGCATGAACGCCGGACACGTCTCTCGCGTCGCGGGACGCTCGATGACTGGCGCCCAACCTTATGGCGCGAGGCTGGCCTAAATGTCTTTTTTTTTCGTGGCGTACCGTTATCGTAGAATGCCAACTTGGGCTCTACGATCGACGACGGGCTCTCCTCTTCTCGCCCGCGTCGATTTCATCCGTCGTCGTTGTCCGTCACGGTGCTCGTCTACGGCGTCTTCCGTTCACCCGCGCGTCGTCGGGGGAGCGCGCGTCCTCCTCGTCGTCCGTCCTGAACGCGTTCCGAAGCGTTCTCTCGCGCGCTTCTTCTCCTCTTCATCCGCCGTGGTGGAAAAAAAGGCCGCGCGTCCGATCGAGACCGTCGCTCGCGCGCCAGTCGATTTTCCTCAGTTCCGCACGGCGAACGTGGCGCGATAGATCTCTCTCTCTCGCGTCGCAGAGACCCGCGCGCGGATGCCCCGCATGCGAACATCGCGAACACACGTCGTCTCCCTGGGTGAATCGCGCTGTCGATACACCAGCGTCGTCCGCACGCACCGTCGCCGGAAGTGATTGTCGCACGCCTACCCTGAGAAGAGCGCCGAGGATGAGAGCCCGGCTGGTCCTGCTGGGAGTCCTGCTCGTCTGCACGAGTGTGAGTATGCGTTCTCGCCCACCGGACAGCCCCTTTCACTCGAGGGAGGTCATCCCGCGAGCGATATCGGCGATACTTTACGATGTTTTAAGCGTGGTTTACAATAGGCAGGTAGGAGTGAGAATAAGAAATTGATCAATCATATTCGGATGCGAAGAGAATAATCGACTACGATTGGTTCATTTCTTACTCTTACTTCTCGTAAATATACTCGTATACTTTTTATAAATATACCCCTACCCGGGGAAAAATGATTATATATAATTGTACAAAATCATATGTGAATTTTGTACATTATGTGGTTATATATATGATCATGTGTGTGCCTATATGAAGAGAAATGATGTTATGTCATTCAATTAAACGTCGATATTATGTGCTGTCAGAAGCACAAGTAGCCGGGAGCATTTGTTTCGATCGAATTTGCATATAATTTGTAAACAATAGTAATTTTTCGTCGTGAACATATGTGATTATGTATAGTTATATATGAGCAAATTTCATATATGATCTTCTTTTGCCCGAGTATCCAGCTGTAGACCACGCTGATAACGCTGATGAGATACCTTGTCTTGGGGCCTCCATTCGTAAACATCATACTAAACTGTTACTCAGTGAACACCAACTACCAGTAACATAACATTAATGTTATAATTCAACAATGTTAACGCAACGTAAGATCAATCGGGCAACCAAATCTGCGGAAACAGATTTTACACCTGCTATAAATTTGGTCGACAGCCTGTCAGCAAATCCCGTTGTATTCCTGCCAGCAGGACAGTCGGCAAAATTTACAGCAGATACTATCCGCTTTCGCAGATTTGGCTGTCTGACTGGTATCGGGCAACATTCATCCAATGTATCGCCAATAAATTGTGCTACCAGGGCAATGTTATGTTATATCACACTCGGTGTTACATAACATTTACATTGTTGAGTGTGAAATTACGACATAGACGTAGCGTAGCTCGGGTGTTAACTGGGTCCTCCTCCATACCTCGTGTCTTTCGCTCGACAACGACGACGACAACAACAACGACCTGCCGAACCTTGTCTCGTGATATCCGCAGATTCGTTATGCCGAGAGCAGGTCGAAGAAGACGACGCAGCTGTCGCTGCAGAGCAAGGAGACCAACGTGGTGAACTTCATGCGGCTGCTGGTGATGAGATTGGTCTTCGGGGTGGCGACGGCGATGGGGCTGGGTGAGAACCTGTCCGGCGTGCTGGGAGGTCTCTTCGTGCCGCCCGGCGCCGAGGACTACAGCGATTACGGCGACGACGACGTCGGCTTCGTACCTGACCTGTTCTGAGATAGACATACCTCTTAGCATCGCGTTCCGCGGTTTTTACGAAAAACTACTCCGTCCGTATGAAAAGCGCGTCTTCGAATCGATCTCTCCGTTTCTCTTCTCCGTTTCAGTTACGGGCTACGGTGTGCTCGTTAGTTCCGCGTCTCGGAGAACGCCCGGTACCTCCGCGGTGGATCGAAGGAACGAGGACGAACCGAACGGAGAGTAGACGATGAAAACCGATCCGCGTGTGGGCGCACGTTTCGTGCGTTTTCACGCGCGAAAGATAGTTGCGCGCGTTCCATATCGGTTTTTTATTCTTTAGGTAACTGGTAAGAAAAACAAAAATTCAACGGTCTCGCGTGTTGCGCGTTTACGAACGAATCGGCGTGGATTATAGAAGGAAAGTCGGGGATTTGCATAAGTGGCTCGACGAGTTTCGCACAAAGATGTATGACTCTAAGAAAGTCCTGGCCCGTCGAGTATCCTCGACCTCGCTATGATAACGGAATTAGTAGATAGAAGAGGCGAATGTTCGTTGGTGTCGTAAATCAGACGCGCGCGAAGGACGATCCACGAAGATTTTTCGCCGGGTCGGCAAAGCCGGTTTTTTTTTTCTTTCTTTCAAAGTGCTTTTCCGTTATTCGTCGTAATTTCGGCGGAGTTAATAGACGCGCATCGGTTACGGGCAAAGGTAGCGGCAGCGAAGAATCGCTCGCTTTCTATTTAACCCAAGTATCAAGTGAACGTAACTATCAGCTCCGGTCCAGCGGAGCCCAGCAGCATCTGCTGATCATCGCCGATTGGAAATCATCGCGCGCAAACAAATACGTGATTCTATCTCGGGAGTAAAAGGCCAGTTTCGCGATTAAACTACGATCGGGACTAGTGGGTTATATCGGTTCACGGCTCGGTTGAGATGAATTTGAAAATGCGCGCGACCTGGACTTACGCTTTCGGGATAATCGGCCCGAAATCGGCCTGATAAACGGCGCGGCCAGGTGTGTTATTATCGGAACTAGCGCTCGAGGACTCGAAATCACGGAGAAACGTCTCGGATACCGTTAAGCGAAACGGAAAGCGCGCGATGTTCGTTATCTGAACGGAACTCTTATTTATTTGATGTACTTTTAAGAGGTAAGAACGCTTAACTAATCGTCGGTGGAAAGGGAACGAAGCGTCGTTACGTCAAATCGCGTTTTGCGCTCATTGTTTCAGCAGCAACGGCGGAAAACTCGTTCATTCGTCGAACAGGATAAAACCAAACCTTCCGAAACCGCCAGTAGCATCGTTTAGTTTTAGTTTTTCGTGTATTTAATTTAATTAATTTAGTTAATCACGTAATAAGTGTAAGTTATATATTTGCATCATGTTTTTTTGTAAGAAAAAGCATCGGTCAAAAATGTCGGTCAATAAATTATTTCTTTATTTTAATTTTAGTATCTTTTCTTTTTCACACGATACCGTCCAAGCGATACAGTATTCGTGTGCAGACGCGAGTAGGTTTGCAACGACCGTCAGTGCGGGTCAGTCGGAAGAAACTGTTACGTGACGAACTTGTGACCGAGAAAAAAGGGACCGACGTTTGACACGTTCATTCTTCCCCCGTACATTTCGAGTGTTCCGACGTGAATGGCGCTGTTTGATCACGTACGAGCATTCCGCTAACGGTTCCAAACGGCGCGTGCTAATTACACAGTAAACCAATGTACACTGCGAAGAATTCATCGGTGCACCTGTGAAACAGTTAACGTTTCACGTGTCACAATTGTTCGGATTAACATCGATATGTGTGCCGCTTATCGTGGCGCCGTTTGTCTTCAATATGACGAATCAAAAAGTGCATCTCGGCAGATCTTGCAAAGAAACGTGCAATAAAAACGTATAACGAAATTAGAAAAAATTAGGAGGCGATAGATATTAAACATACTTTACTGCACATTCCTTTATTGTTTAAGGCTATAAAAATATATTTACTTTTAAATTAATAAAAATATTAATAAATAACTAATAATTATTAAATAACTAATAATTAATAAATAACTTCTTATCCCCCCCTCCCCTCCCTACTATTTACATATCCCGTACTAACTTTGCCAAGTGATATAAAAATTCATATTCATTTACAGATAAATATATATAGATAAATTGCTGAACTTACCGATGTCTCGCATTTAAATATCGTCACTGTCGGTAAAAGAGGAATCGGTATTGGCCTCTCGTAGGTCTTGGTAACAGCTGTTCTTCTTTCTTACGAGGTCTCCCCAGAGGACACTGGTTTTACACGCTGGACAAATGCCGTCGATCGGCAAAATCATCCCGTCCTTGCAGAATGCCTTTGCCAAGCAAATCGAATGAGCAATTAAAAGGCACTTCGGTTTCACGCAACTGATGGAGTCTCTCTCCGTCATGGCCGAGCCACAAAGAGGACACAACCTCTCCATCACCGACTGTGACTCTTGTAATCGAGCATCGTTAGCTTTCGCGTCTTTCGTTTGCTTGACTTTACAACTGGCGACTTTGCCGTAGCATATAGGCATATGCAACGGTGGGGATATATTTCCGCAATAGTCCTTGGAAAACTCATAGTCCAGCCAGCGTACCGTTAACGGTAAACGGCACCAAGGCCCAACTTGTAACATCTCGGATAGAACTGTCAGATAGAAGTCAAACACCCTCTGTGATTTCTTCTTTTTGGGGATATGTCTCAGCCGTCTGCTAACATGTGGATGTTGCCAGGCCCATTCAAACTGAAACAATACAGTCTGTTGTAAACAGTTATTCGTTTTGTTTTGTATATTACACAAAGCTTTCCTTGATACAAAATTGTTCGAAACATACTCTGAGCGCAGAAGTACTGTTGGGAAATCCGTAAACAATCAAAACCATATTCCTAAAAATGACAATTAGAATTCAGAATATGTGTATTGAGTATATATAATATAGAATATCTTATTATTCACTTGGTACTTATATAGAAATAATTATTTTATATATAGTTGAATATATACTTAATTGCTATATAATGGAAAGAAGTGAGATTTAGATCCTCACCATGGCCCTTTGTTACTAGTTTTCCAGGCTCCACCGTACTTCCTGCCAGCATTGTGCTGTTTGATCCTACGTCTTGGATCCACGGTATATCCTATGTACGTTTTTCCTCTATATTTTGGATTTACACAGTACAAGAGGTATACTCCATAAAAATGTTCTACCACTTCAGGTTCTTCCATCGTTGAACATTCTTCTTGGAGCATGCAGAACCTTGAATACCATTCAGCTGATTCTCGAACGCATTTCTGCCCGATTGTCCGTCAAACTTTTACATCTGCCACATCCCATCTATAAGAACATCATAGGATGCAATGTAAAAAGGTTCGAGTGTTTTTTTCATCAGTTGTATTTGAGAGCCATCGCTATCAAAAACTAATAGTCAACCGACTAGTAGAGGCGAGATCAGTTGATCGATGAGAGGATATTTCTGTTTTTTAATAAGTTGTTTAAGTTGTTAACATTAGGTCGTATTAATTAAAAATAAAATAAGTCTCTTTTAGTCTCTCATCGTTAAGCTGTATTATTAGAAAATAAAGTTTACCAACCAGTTGTCGAGCTGTGCTATTTGTAAATAAAGATGTCTAACTTATCGTTGAATCGTACTGCAACCTCCATTCTTATCAAGTGGTCGCGACTTGTAGCGGAAACTTCGGAAACTAATGACAAGTAATGGGTCTAATAGCGTTCAAGTCGCGCGTCAGTCGAAAACGCTATAATTTTTAGCGGGTCTAACGACTAGACCCGTTACTTACTGTTAGTTCCCAAGTCTCCGCTCTAAACCGCCACCGTCTTTGGTGAAAATTCAGGTCGCAGTATGATTCAATGGCCGCGCTCGGCAGAATGTTTAGTTTGCAACTGTTGCAAGTTTCCTGTGCTGATATTTGAATTAATTGGATTATTCCTGTAGATCTAAAAGAATAATCCGATCTTAGCTCGGCTCCGATCAGCTCAGAAAACTTCCAACAGTTGCAAATTAAACGTTCTGCTGAACGTAGCTAATAATGAGTTCGACGCATCTTTATTTTTAAATAATGCAATTCACCGGTGAGTAGAAAAATTTTATTTTTTGTAATAGTACGACTTAACGATAAACTAAAAAGTCTTTCTATTTTCAATTAGTGCGACTCGAAGGCAAGATGATCTTATTTTCAATTAATATGAATTTAATAAAAGTTGTATTATATGTAATTGATTTCGAATTATGTGAGATAATTATTATGCTTCGAAAATACGTAATGATCAATTAATAGTAGAGATCATTGTTATTGTTCTCTCTCTATTAATATATCTATAGAATTTATATTTATTTGAGGATTTCGGGGGAAAGTTCCCAAAAAAAATTATGCACGCGCACGCACACACACAGACTCTTTTTTTGCCCTCCACAGTTGTATTTGGTGACCTAGATTACAATGAAAATATTTAGGTATAACATTGACGTACGAGATAGTTTTCAAATATAGATTACTCGAATTTCTATGCAAGATACATATAATATTGTATAATTAGATGACACAATATAGCACGATTTTGTAATACTCGACTCATTCGCTAACAAACAACATTTATTATTCGCTTTATTTTGCTTAGTTCTTTTTTTTCGTGCGCTGTTATTATTTTTTTTACACGTAGAATACCGTATAACGACATTGACAATATATATATGTATATATATATATACATATATATATATATATTTATATTTATATCTGCTTTGTATATCTCGTAGTGTTACAGAATATATAATAATCACGTATCGCGCGTAATATCGGGTGTCGCGAAATCTGTTCGCGATCGGTGCGTAACGCCTGAATCTTTTTCATTCTTCGATCATCGATGCCGGTGGATCTCGTAGATATCGCGAAAATAAAACGCATCGAGAGGAAAAATATCGAGAAGAAGTCAAAGGCTCATCGGAAAGGAAATTTCCCGGCTCGATATTTCGTACACATTCCTCGCAAGGTCCTCCTCGGTCAAGTTGACCGTGTCGGACAAATCGGCTGCCGCACAGGACAACCCGCACGAGGTTCCCCGCAAGCTTTCAGTCGATCTTCCGAGTGAATTCGCTGTACAAAATATCAGCCCGAGTTACGGAATCGGACCGGATGACGTGGGATCAAATTAAGATCGCTACTCGATCGATCGAACTTCGCTCGAGAAAGAAGACAGAGATGAAACCGAAAGTCCGGCCGGTTAAAACTCGATTTAGGAATACACAATTATCCGTGAAAAACGGTGTCACGGTAAAGCTTAGTGACGAGCGATCTTGATTTAGGCTTGGTGCGTCTTCGTACGTCCGGATCGTCCTTGATCCCCTCTCTCCTCCCCGGTGGAATTCTTTCTTCTTTGCGCGGATACGATGGGAAACGACGGCGATGATGATGACCCTGCGAGGTGTTTCCAGTTCGGCGACTTAGTCTCGCGTTTAACGGTACTCTTTTGCATCTTTCTACGGGTCGACCTAATACGCGTGGTTGGCGACGAAGAGCGCCGCGTCTCCCGCGGCGCCGCTAACGCCACCCGCGTACTTGCCGAGCGCTGACTCGCTGTTGGCCTGGACGGGAAACAGACAAGCACGATTTCATTCGCGATATTCGCCGAGCGTTTCCTCGGAGAGGACTCTTTTTCTCGCAAGATACAGTAGCGAAAATTGAAAAAAAAAAAATGAAAGAGACGAGCATTCAAAGAAATCTCCGAGAGAATTTTGCAAATATTCAGTCACCCTTGAACTTTATTGTAAGAAACATGCTCCTTTTAATTCGATGGTTTTAATTTTAACTTGATTAATAGAAACGCAAAGTCGTGAATTTCGTTTCAGATTTCCCGGGGAAAAAAGAGATCACGCATGAAATTTGCCCATATATGACTGTAAATAATCATATATGTCCTCAACGAAAAAATACCGTTTTTTACAAAATACCGTTTACAAATTACATACAAATACAGTCAAATAAATGCTCCTGACAATATTGACGTTTGATTAAATGACATAACATTATCTTTTTCGTATAAACATGTGTGATCATACATGTAACCACATATATGGGCAAAATTCACATATGATTTTATGTAATTATATATAATCATATACAATCATTTTTCCCAGGTTTTATTAATGGTTTCGTTATTTTTTGTCAGAGTGAGAAATGTCAACGTCTCGTGGATCACTCAAATTACATATTTTTATTGTAAAAAGGAACGTTTGAAATTTCGAAATGATCCGTATATACGTGGATGGTTGAGAACATGTTTATCCACGAGGGGTTAACGTCTCCCCTTGACGTTGATCCGTTGTACTTACTGCCACGGGAGAAACGGACCGCGCGGAAAGGCGAGATTTTTGTTTTGTTTTTAGTAGGCGTGAGATTTGACGTAGAGAGAAGTGCCGGCGGCTTTGCTAGAAATGCTGCCTGCGACGTACTTGCCTTGGCAGGCTGCGGCGTTTGCCTAAACAAGCACACAATACACAACATGCACAGAAATGCGTGCCGTCTCGCAGCTTCGCGTGTACTGCTCCGAGCGGCCGCAACTGCGGAAGAGGAAAAGGAGAAAGAAAAAAAAGAAAAGTAACGAGATTTCTTTTCTACCGAGGAAAATTACTTGCCAGCTGCCGCATGCGGAAGCGCAGAGGCTGGGCAAAAGTGCAAAGGGCAACTCTTCGGGGAACGTGAATGTTAGAACGAGAAATCACTTTGAAAAGTAAAACGAAGATCAAAGACGGAGCCGGCTAGTGACAGCTACTATCTGTGGACGCGGCGAAGAGAGAGAGAGAGAGAGAAAGGAGAGTGAAACGTGAATAAAAAGTGAGCATAGCTACTAGCAGCCACGAACTCGAAACTAGTGCATGCAATCTAATTATTCAATCATCTAATTATCTAACTCTCAATTATCACGGGCACGGTGGGAGCAAATGGCGCAATACCGCGGGCATTTTTTACGAGAATGCGAAAAACAGGAGGAAGAGAAGCAGCTTTTACTTTACACGGTGAAAAACACGTTGTTGTACTTGCGTTAAGATCGGTTCTTGTTGAAATTTCTGTGTTGAACGTTTTCAACACAAACGTGTGTTAATTTAATATTATTGTGTGTATGTTATGTCAATATTTTGTTATGTCAATGTTGAGTTGACATTCAATATGTGCAAGTGTTAAAATGATACATACTTCAGCGTTTGATTAACATGTTCCAGATATTATAATTTTCTGTTAATTTTTGACATAATATTTGTGTTACTTTCAATGCATTCACCTTGTATTAAGTTAACACAAAAATTTGTATTTGCGAATCGTTTAGGACACGTGAAATGTGTTAAATTCGGCAGAAAATTCTTTACTGTCTACGTTCAAGAGTAGATTTGAGAATCGTTCCGTCAGTGTATCGTCATCTTCTCGATCGTCACGAGAACAGATAATTAGTAAAATCGAACTGATGTCTCTCTTCCCATCCTGTTAATATCAATTAACGCGTAACAGTGTTAACTCGCCGTCCGGGTTCGACCGAACATGTTATCCGGACTGTCGACGGCGACAAATTGATAATTGAGAGTTAACGATCGACTAACGTGTTGTTAACACAGATAATTCAAGAAAAACGCCGTCTTGGCAGGAGATCGCGCGTATTCGCGCTTACCTTGGCCCTCTTGATCAGTTCTTCCTGGCCGGCGGCGACCTGGTCGGCTTTGCCACCCCAGGCGCGGAGCACGGAGGCTTGAAGAGCGCGGCCGTAGCTGAAGGTGAGCGCCCAGGGTTTCTTCGCCGGGAACTTGTTAATGGCGTCCAGATTGACCGACGCCTCCTCCTCGGACTGGCCGCCGCTGAGGAAGGTGATGCCGGGTACCGCCGGTGGCACGGTGCGCATCAACGCGGTCACCGTCGCCGCCGCGATTTCCTGCGGAGTCGATCTCGTCGGGCAGCTCTGGCCTGGCGTCACCATGTTGGGCTTCAGCAGAGTGCCCTCGAGGTACACGTGGTGGTCCGAGAGCGCCTGAAAACATACAAGACGGGTCAGAGCTTGAAAATTTATCGCACGACTCAGCCTCGGTCGATCGAAGCTCGATTTGATCCAACTGCTTTTTTCCTCGGTACAAAAGACGTATTAAAGAAGTTTAAAGGACATCCTGCTTTTTCAGACGACTTTCTGCCTTTGAGAAAATTGCGCTGTTCGGATAGATACGGCGACCAAAAAGTCAGGCACGGCTTGGAAAACACGTCTTATCTCCGAAGGAACGTCCGTCTTATCTGAGACAACGCCTTATCTTTCTTGGCAAATTATTAGACTTCATTCTCGAAAATTCACGACGATTTCTACAATTGCACTACGGAACGTAGGAAGCGAGTCCCGCTATTTTACTCGTTCCTGCGAGGATCGTGCGATCAGAACGCAAACGGAGGCCGACCGGTAAGACGAGTAAGTACCTTGTAAACGGCCGCCAAGACCTCTTCCGTCACCTTTTGGCAACGGGCGAGATCGTGATCGCCGTCGGGCAGGATCTCAGGCTCCACGATCGGCACGATCCTGGCGCTCTGGCAGATAGAGGCGTAGCGCGCCAGCACGTTGGCGTTCTCCAAGATCGCGAGCTTGCTCGGCGTGTCCTTGGTGATCTTCAGCACGCATCGCCACTTGGCGAAGTGGCAGCCGTCCTTCTTGTACTGGATGCAGCGCGCCTGCAGGTCGTCGAGACCCTGGGTCGTGCACTCGTTGTCCGTGCCGAAAAGCGGCACCACGCCTTTGTCGACCTTGATGCCGGGGATGATGTTACGCTCCTTCAGTAACTCGACGAACGGCGTGCCGTCGTCGGCTTTCTGGTAGAGGGTCTCGTGGAAGAGGATCACCCCGGAGATGTGCTGACTGATGACGTCCTGAGGGAGAGAGAAGCGAGCTCGAGCGTACGTTCGCGCGATGCGTCTTTGTCGCTCGAGCGAAGATCGCGCGATCGACGGGGAATCGCAAGAAGAAAGTCCACCAACGACTAATTTATATACTACGTGTAACCAATTATTTGGTTAGTGTAACCAAATCATTTAGTTACACGCATACCGTGCTACCAATCTAAATTTAGTTACTGTAACAAATCATTCGGTCGGAACTATTTCACTAAATGTTTGGTGACTGTTGACCAAACTTTTTTTCTCAGCGTAATAAATTTAGCATCTATGGTTAATTCTTCCTCCAAGGTTGTGGCTCGACTGTACCTTCGCTGTGGTGAAAAGCAGCTGTCTGTAGGCCCTGCGGTTATCCTCATTATTCTCGACGTTGATGTCCTGAAGACGCTTGCCTATCGTCGCGGTTGACTCGTCGGCGGCGAGGATGCCCCTGCCGGATCCTACAATCTGCCGGGCGATCGTACTTAATTCCTGCTTCAGCTCAGGATCGGCATGGCTGTACTTCTCTGCGACCATTTTCTGCAAAACGCCAAAATGCCGTCCAATGCCTAATTATCCGGTCACGCTTGAATCGATCTCCCCTCCCCTCCATCATGAAGATAATATCCCGAATCTCAGTTGGAATTCACGAGACAACGAATTGTGTTGCGATTAATCGCGAGGAGGGATGACAATTGATACACGCTGAAGTTAACCGAGAATATTGCCGGTCGCGTCGATTCGGCGGAGAAGACGAGCCTGCAATTTCGAGTCGACTCGAAAGTCTCCGATTTTCGAGTCTGACGGAGCGAGTCGGCAACGGAGACCTTGCCGACTCCGTTGATACGTAACGCGCGCATTTCTCTATCGGGTTAAGAGAAAATTCCCTCCCGTGTGACGTCGACCAACTCGACTGATGAAACGGCACCCCGGAGAGACGAAAACGCCTTTAATATTGCAAATGAAGCGGAAGGATCGGACGCGCAGAATGAAAGTGCCTCTTAGCGTCGGCACGTCCTCGACGTGGCATATATCCGTGAAATAATTGCAGACGTCGTTTATCATGTATGGCGTCGTCGCCTGTCCTTCGTTGTTCGCGCGAATTGACGGTGCCCGAAACTCGTCGGGAAAAAAACTTAATTGTGTACTTCGCATTCAGCTGCTCGTATATGTGTGTGTGTGTGTGTATTCGTTGATTTTCCCCAATCTTTTCGACGAGATTACATTTATTCTAAAGACGTCAGTTCTCCATACACATCGTTCTCGACGTTTCTCGAAATCCGCTCATCATTTGCTTTGATTTTTGAAATATCGGAAATATATCTAGTTTCACCGACGAGACGCGTGATTTTGATCGGTAGATCTTAATAGATTTTGCAGGAATTTTATTTCTCGCCGTAGAAATTAAAAAAAGGTAAAACGATAAAGGAGGCGAGAAAAATTAAAAGGACGAAAGCAACGGGAAGAAATGGTGTTGCGAGGAAGGTCTCGAAATAGGGTCAGAGGTACGCGCGGAGATGAAGGCAGATCGACGTTTCCTCTGCTACAGGGAGAACGAGTCAGTTATAAGCTATAGAGCTATATCGTGCTATATTTATCGCGCGCGATGAAACGTGAGTAATGTTTCAGGTATCCCCGATAACGGCCAATTCCTCTCTGAATTCTCGATTCATGGGAGGTTTCAGGATTGCGTGCGTGTAGCCGAGACTTAATGGAATTACAGTCTATCGGTCATAAAGCAATACGATCGATTCTTCGAGTCGTGTGTTTACGATGCGTTGCACGAAGTTCTGCCAGCCGTGCGATTTATCCGATTTACACTTGTTGATAACTCTCGTTATCGATAATTCGCTCGGCAAACGCCCGTTTGGCGCCGGAACTTGGTGCTCGCGTGACAAATCGTGCGGAAACCGTTGTTTCACATTTAAAAACTAGATCTCCACAATTTTGTGAAAAGAGAAAGAGAGAGAGAGAGAGAGAGAAAGCGCTAGATTAGACAAAATATAATTACGCAATAATTTCCTCGCAATTTCTGTCTTATTCTTGGCGTGTTGCGACCGGTCCTGCTTCTCTCTTATCAAAGAACCAGCGAACCGATTTGACACTGGTGAAATTTACATCTCGGTATCGCGAGCACGAAAGAGAAGCTCGTCCCTCACCGATCGTCACGGATATAAACAAATCTTTCCCGATGTTTCTACGATCTGTAACTCGGACACCCGTTAGTGTCGGTGCACAATAGGTATTTCAAGCCTTAAGCCTTAAGAAATTGACTAATTACAACTAATTATTCTCTTCACATTTGACTGTGATCGGTGAATTTCTTAACACGTTCATTGCCAAGCTGAAAATTGGAATTTCGTGTGGTGGCCAAATTTTTCTTGTTTTTTATTTAGTTTTTATTGTGCTTAAAATAAGTTAATATATTATTTATATGCTTTTATTATTATGTACATAGGATTTATGTATTCTAAATATCTATTACGCGATAACGTATGATCGGCCGTTTGGTGAAAATTCGCATCACGCGATATCGCGTGCTTGCCAATGAACGTGTTAAGGCTTAAGGCTTAAAATGTTTACTGAGGACCGACACTTATGAAACTGTTCGGAATGAATTGACGATCGGAATCATTCAGTTATTTTCCACGTTTCCTCATTGTATTTTACAGGGAATAATTAAACGATTCCGAACGAGTCCATAATTTTCATGCACCGTCCGGCAAAGTTAGCACGTAGTACGATGATCTCAGATTCGGACGTCGGTCTCTTACCTCTCTCGAGGACCCACCGGGATGATCGAAGCGTGCGCTCCGCCGTGGCGTCACCGAGCGTAAATAAGAGTGCGCAGCATCCCGTCAGCCGTTCTGCGTGGTACGCATACGCACGACGGCAGAACGACGGCGATAGAAATGATACTGTGTACTACCAGCAATGATAATAATAAACGGGAATAATAAGCGCGCTCATCACGCGGAGACGACCGGGATATATCGGACTTACGGCGCGATCGCCGACCAACGTAGTCGAACGCTCTCGTCGTTCGCCGGTTGCCTTTCGCACCCCCGCGCCGGATGTTGTCGCGCGACGATGCGAGATCCGCGGCCTGCGGCTGTGCATCTTTTAGCGATCAGTCGAACACCGATACGAGGTAAAAAGAGATACCCGGAGTATAAAGGAAGAGAGAGAAAGAGAGATGGAGAGAGAGGGAAAAAGAGGGAGATAAAGCGAGAGGAAGCGGGAGAGAGAGAGACAGAGTGTGTAGACAAGATAAACGCAACAATCGTGCGATACGACAACGGGGCCCTGTATACGGGGTAGGCCCCGCGCGCTGCGATATGCCACCCCCCCGTTCGACTACATCTCGGCTGTTCGCGTTCCGGAGCGGAGGAACTCGCGCGCGCGTCTCGCACGGCCGCGAGTCGCCGACTGGTTTTATCCGGTCTACCCCCCCCCCCGGCGCACCCCTTTCTTCCCCCGGTACACTCTCGCCCACGGCGCAAGGGGTGGTTAGGTGGGTGTACCTGGCTGCAGTGCAGTGTCGTAACNCGGCGCAAGGGGTGGTTAGGTGGGTGTACCTGGCTGCAGTGCAGTGTCGTAACTGTAAGATCAGGGGGGACGAAAGGGGTCGGTAGTCGAGCAGTAGGGATGACGGAAGATGCGTCCTGCACTGTTGTGTCAGCGGGGGAGGCAAGAAAGAGAGAGAGAGAGAGAGAGAGAGAGGAAGAGGGGAAGACCGACAGACAGATCGAGGGAAGGGAAGAGAGAGAGAGAGAGAGAAAGAGAGAGAGAGAGGGTGGAGAGCGGGCTAGCCGCAATGCAGCACGCGCAGACGTCGTCGGCACCGTTCCGAGAATGCCCCTGCTCTCACCCAGCTTTCACCCTGAATTCGTGTGACTTGAGACACCGGCGATCCGGTCGGAACCGGCGATCGGCGCCGACGACACCGCGGCGCCACGCGATGTGTCCTTCCTACGCGAGCGGAACGCGCGCTATTACGGTTGCTACATTGCCGATTAACACGTTCCCTGCCGGACCGTTTTTTGAAGACTTTCCGTTCAGG